CTAAATCTCAGCAGGCCCTGAACCAATTTTCCTTCCTCAAGTCCATCCCCTTTGTTAAGAAAAAGTAATAAACACAGATAGTCCATGAGTTTATACTCACGCTAATCTGGGCTCTATATATGGTAGCAAAATATTCGTGGCCAATTAGTTAAGCTAGTTTGTACAAGAGACCAATGCATGCAATCTTAAACATTATTGCTTTTATTCAGAAAGATAGTTCTAGACAGAATTCAGATTATAGCAAAGCATTTCAGTCAGTAACATTTCCATATCAAGTCTGACAGATAACCCCACAAACTCCAGCTAAGAAAAATAACACAAGAAAACATACTAAGCTAGAATTATCCATAGGCATTGTCTTTCTTACGTATCCTGTGACTCCATAGTCCATAGTCCTTCAGGAAACGTTAGATTCCAGTTGTAATCCAAAGTCCATGTTGGCAAAAAGCTCCATTCAAAAGATATAATCCATTTTGGGAAAAAGCACATGTCTGTCCTTTCTCAGTCAATCTCCATCTTTTTCCTTCCACCAACTTTCTTCTTCTTCCCAGAATTCCTCATAAGGAACACCCCCTCCTGGGTCTTGTTGTCCCGCCTAACTTTCTCATGGGAGTTTGAGTTGTTATCATGTCTTGTGGCAGAATTATTATGACTACCAGGAATGTAACTCTTTGGCTCTCCTTAGCAACTAGATAACCAGAGAACGGAGCTTCTCTGAAACAGCATGTAAAATTTTCCTACCACAGACATTAAATCAAGATGGATGCTATTGGGACAATCTTAGGACTACATATCCCATTCTAATACACATAAAAACGCAAATCATCACAACATGAACAACTTAAACCCATCACTTCAGTTTTATTAACCAAATTACTATTAAGAACGTCCAAGGAGCAATCTGTGATGACATTGGTTATGAAAGCTAGAAAGTGATTTTCTGATGGGGTTTGTAGTTGTGAAATTAGCCTAAAAGAATCCATTTTGGTGTCTGGGTGCTAGTAAAGGAAAATTCCAGATGCTGTTTCTCACAGAAGCTTACCAAGTTCAAGCTCTTATCTGGTCTCCTTAGTAACAGAGGCCTAGGAGGGAGATGAGTTGGGAGACTAAACATTCCACCAGTATCATAAATAACACCTGCAGGTTCTCATGTGAATCTAAGGCGGGACAAGACACTTTTTTCTCACTCCTGATTGGTTGTCAACTGTGAAGAAGAAGGCGGGGGTTAGTTCTAGCAAGAAGAGAAAATGGAGGATGCTGAGAGACAGAGAAGAAGGACTTTTTCCGTATAATGGATTACAACATAGAACTCTTCAATATGGGCTAATTCAGTTTGGATTTCCTGGAAGTTTGGTATGTTTTGAATGGACTATGCATGCTTAAATGGACTATGGAGTTCACGGATTTCTTTTAAGATGTAGTGTTGTATTTAGTTAGAGGGGAAGCTTGACTTTCCTTTTCTTTAGTTAGCAAGTTTGTTATTTTCTTTTTATAGCAGGGACGAGTTACTTTTCTAACTGGATATGATGGAAATGTATATATGTGCCTTGCTTTTGCATAAACTAAATTCTTTCAGAATTTTATTTTTCTAATAAAACAAAATATTCTTAATATCTGGAGTTTGGCCTCTTGAACAGAACAATTGCTACAATTACTCAATTGAATTACTTAATTGGTTATTTTTTTCATGGCCACGGGAAATATTGCTACCTTGGGTCCAGTATATTCCTGAGTGCTAGGAGATATCAATATCTCTGGAACTCACGTTTATATTTTGGTTTCTCAATGAAAATCGGGTCAGACGTGGTGGATGAGTGGGGGAAGTGCTGCCTGGGGTAAAACCATGGACCTATTTTGCCTAGTTTAGGAGCGCACTCACTCAGAATCCTCTGTGTCCCGGGCAGACAGTTCTCCTAGGAGACCTGCTTTGCTCACACAATCTTCTCCTTGCTGTTAACCAAGGTAACTTGTCATCATCTTAATATTCATTGTGTTATTCTATTCTGTGAATGCCTTCTTTTCCTTTTTGGGGGGGGGGTCAAAGACCAATAAATGTGGAATCAGGGTGTGAGCAGGACAGAATACTTCCAGAAAGAAATGGTTGTAAAAATACAGAATCACTCACACAGAGAAAGAGAGAGCGCTTAGCTGTTTCACCTCTGAATCTAACTTGGGTTGGCCAATGCACTTCACACATGAAATTATAATAAACCAGAATATATACGCTCACAGAAAGTATGCTGGCTTCTGTTGAAACATCTTGGCAGTAAATGTGGTCTGGCAAGAAGTATGATGTATGATTTCCAGGCCTGACATGTGAGCCAGTGTGCAAGTGTCATTAAAGAGCTCCATTATACAAAAGCACAAAAAGACTTAGCCAACTTCATAAATCACCCCAAAGCAAGCCAGTACTCAGGAGTAATACGAGCAATTCACACACATGCAATCCTACTTCATGCAATGGATTACATTCTAATACACAGCCATCACCATACTTAAACTCATACACAGTTATACTGCAAGTATGCTTTTATATTTTATTTTATTTCACAGAGATTTTTAAGCATCAAATGATCCATGTATAATAATACATGTATAAGAATTATAATAATGCTTTCTGCCTAGAGGTTTGGCCAGCTTCCATCAAATATCACACCACCCTTTGATGATCTCCACTTCAGCATTTCACTCATATCACTTAACGAATCAAAGATAAAATAAACATTAAGGCAAGGGGCTGAATTCATAGTTAATTCCCCCTAGAGGTGACGAAATGGATGAATGGGATTTGTTAAATTAACAATAATGTAGGTTTCAATGTCCCATGCACTCTAATTGGGATTACAGCTGGATTTAGACCAATGATGTCAAGGGTCTTATATACATAAAAGTTCAGATACCATTGCATTCCCTCCTGCTTGTGTCAACATTTAGAAAGATTCAGCTCATCCTCCCAAATAAATTTGCTGCACCACAGCCAGGAGGTGTTACTAGAGGTAACAGGTGTCAATGGTGTTCCAAATTGGTTTCTTCCTGGCCCACCAAATCTGGTGTAACTCCCTCATGTGAACCTATCAAACTCTTTAAATCTTCACGCCCATTTTAACTGCCCCTGCCAAGCATACATTAGGCTGCTGCTGGAAAGAGGAGCCCTTCTAGTGGCAGCATCACAGAAAGGTTTGCTTCATTTTACCCACCAACAATATTTCTTTGAATTATTTGGGAAAGTTGACATATTAATTGACTAACCTGCTCCTTTTGCTCTGTGCTCCTGGATTTTTCAGTGCTTTTTCCCTGTTTTAACAGCTCACTGTTTTATTTTAATTAATTTTGTATTGATGATTATTATAGAACACCCAAAGAAACCTATTACTGGGTCCCATAAAACCACAGATAATGCTTATGAAAACTGTATGTTTCGGAGAGGGACAGCCTTCTGAGGGACCTCCTTGAAGCATGAGTGACCTTTTCACAGTGACACAATTATTCACACAGTCGTCCTCCAACCTGGTATTTCTCAATTTCAGCCTATTCCAAAGGCCCCCAAAACACGACATTTGGCCACCAGTGCCCCCCCTTCGCAGCCTTCTCTGATTTCAACTGGGCCACCCAGAACAGCAGATGCCAAGGGAGCCTTGGCTACCATGGCACCTCAAAAACCAATGCCTTTGTGGTCGTAATGCCATTAATTCCACTAGTACAGTTTTCTTTGCCTTATTTATAACTTCCTTTCCATCACAGGCCACAACCTATTACTTTTTTGCTGTTTGGCAAACCCAGCTTAATATTAGTAAACAATGTAAAAAAGAATAAGAACAATATATACAGACCATATGTGGTTAACAGCCTCTGTTCATCACATTCCAGTACAAAATTCAGAGAACAGTATGGGAGAAAACTGAGTTTTGAACATTATGTAAAAGACTCAAACCATACATGGGATATAGGTGCAATGTACATATCAAAAGCAAGATTTTCCATTTGCAAAGGCCATAAACGAAAAGTGCAAGGTTTTTAACCTTCCACACTGTCGTGACTTCTTGCTTCAGTTAACAGGACAAAGGATATATGAATGTGCCCATAAGGTGAAATAATTGTTGAAGAATTGCAGCAAAATCCTGGGTTTGTCTATTCAAAAGAAAATCCAATGCACTGAATTCAAGGTTTATTTCTTATGTTTTAGACTGCAGCACCAGTCTTCTTAATTTTCTTTTTAAAATACCCAAGGTTCAACAGCTTTCAATAAATCTTGAAGAGGGCAGTAAGATGAAACTTATGCCACACCAAAATTGTCCTCGCACCCATTATGGAAGGGGGTAGTTGCACTGACAGGGAGTGGGCATGATCTGTGAGTGCAGTGCCAAACTTTGGCATGGCATGGAGCTTCAAAAAAGGTCCTACAGGGGGCAGTAACTTTGGCCATTGCCAAATTTTCAAGGAGAAGGCCCAAAGGAGATCTTGCAGGTTCCCTAGGTCTCACAGAATCACATGAGCAAAGTATCTCAGGGATACACATTCAAAGGCTTGCCAAAGCAACGAGGAGTCTCTTTTGACTATCTGGACACAGTTATATGCCCCTTCGTCCCTTGGTGTTGATTCTGACAAGGGTCTCTAAGTCACCCTTCTGGGCACCGGGAATTTTTTCAGGTCATTTTGACATGATCATCACCTTCACTGGAAAAGGTACATGGATTTGAACTATTAGCTTTTCCATGTTGTGGCAGAATAGTCTCATGCAATACTGCAGTAAAATCATGTGTGTGTGCTTCCTTGTCAAAGCTGGTGGTTAAAGAGGTCCCATAAATATTAAATATTTTCGTATTAAAATGGCCACACTGCATTTCTCAGTGGATGACTAAGGCATGAGGGGAACAGAGAGGATTACTTAAATGGAAGAAAATAGAACACTAGTCCAACAGCAGCTCCTAGGAAAGTATAATGAACAATATATACAATATGTGAAGAATAAAGGCAGCCCATGAGAGCTCAGTGTAGCTTACCTCAGCTTGACAAAGAGCATGAAGTCCTTGTAACACTAAGACTGCCGGTGTAGCTTGGTCAGGTTTTGTGCATTCATTCAGCACCTGGGAAATTGCTGCCAACATATCTGCACCATGTTGGTAAGGCCTAATAAACATATATAACAGTTATGTTTTGACAGGTTGGATCCAAGACATGTTCACATTTATAGACTGCAGTATATGCTGAGAAGTTCAACTGCACTGAATGTCACACTTCAACTTTCTTCAAAAGGGAAGACACTCCTCTTTTTGCAAAGAGAGAAAATGAACTGCCTAATAACAACCTCTGTAACAGATGGAATCCTGTTTCATATCAACAGTCTCACATCAGTTCTTACTACATCTGGTTGTGGTACAATTGATTTCATCCTCCAGAGAGCACCAGCACCATAAACTGGGTGTTATTATTTTATCTTGCTTTTCAGGTGAATATGGCCTTCCATTACAGTTCACATAAATTCAAAAGGGCCTGACACAAAGCAGTGGCAGATATTAACATGCTTTCATTTATTAAAATGTACAGACCACTGATTCACCAAAACCAGCACTCAAGGTAGCTAACAATAAGAAATACCACTTAAAACCAAATCAACCTAGCCACCCTTGAGAGTTTTACAGCCTAGGACTGGCCAGTGAAAATGTCTGAATCATGCCCAGAAACAGACCTGTAGCCAATGAAGATGTCATAACAAGGGAGCCACATGTTCCCTGTAAATGACCACAGTGTACAAGTCTAGCCACCAGTTGAAGTTTCCATAAAAGTTTCAAAACAAGTTTCATATGTTAATATGTTGCAGTAATCCAAATACTATACAGGTCAGAATCCTTCTGGGTTTCCACAGTGCAAACTGGAAATTGCACAACTGGCACATGGGACTGTGCCCCAGCTGTCTGTTGAATACTCAGATACATCCTTGTTGGATACTTGATCATGTTCCAGACATGCAACAGAGCAGTCTCCCGTATGTGTGTGTGCTATTTTACAACTGGAATTTAGCCATGGACTCCATATCTTAGTCCAAACAGAAGTTCAACTGAGGCATGTGATCAGATCAGAAATCTCCAAGAACAGGCACAGCTGGTACATTGGTGTCAGTGGCAGAAACTACAATCTTGGCCACTACTGAAACCTAAGCTCAGGGCCGCCTTTAACAGGACACTGTCAACCTGAGATTTTAAGGGATGATAATCCTATCCAGCACAGGTTTACTCTTTATTTGATCTTTCTTTGCATGGACCAGGTATAGCTCTGCCTTGTGCCAATTACACTTCAGCAGAAATAGGAGCTAAAGGGACAGGGCCACCACAGACGGGGTGGTAGGGTGGCAGTGATGGTACCGTGGCCCTTCAGGATTTGGTTACATCTCTGGCAATCAATAGAAGTCTCAGGTGTTTGGGATAAATTTCACGCTAAGAGCATCTTTCTGCTTACCTTTGTTTGCATATGTCTCTGATGGAAGCAGCTTTGGCAATCAACTTTTCCCATTGTGTATCTTTGCCTACAGACAGAGAAGCCATATCCAACATTGCCATGAATCTCTGAAGTTCTGGGTAAACTCGATCCTGAGAGGAATTTGATGGAGAAGATGAATAATGTTTAGTTGCTTTTAAAAAATCATGTTTAACCTACAAAGAGAAAATTAAAATTTAAACAGCTTCCTCAAGTCATTTTACAGCACAAGTAATTTTTGCAGCATGTTCATTTCCAACCAAAGCTGGACATAATTTCAGGCATATCTGCAGTTATATTATGACTTATGCCCAGGCAAATGTGCATACATCCTTAGGGCGTTCAAAGTACTATGTGCACACTATTTTGAGAATCCTTGCAAGCCTGTAAGATAGGTCAGCATTACTCTTGTATTTCAGATTAAGAGCTAAGGATGAAAAAAGTAACTTCCCACTGATCTATTCAATTCATTGGTAAGGCAAAATTTGAAGAGGGAAGTCTGTAGCATAATGCCTACATGGGCTGACTTATAAACCAGGAAGTTCCCAGTTCAAATCTCACCTCTATTGTGAAAACAAGGTCTTAGGAAAGCCATTCTCTCAGCCTCAATCCTCCCTGTTTGCATTATGGGGCAGAGAAATCAATGGCTTACTTTACAGAACAAGCGGGTAATTTGTGGCCTTCCAGATATTGTTGAATTGCAATCTCCAACCATCTTACCATACACATCAACTGATAATACTGGGAGTTGCAATCCAACAACATTGGCACGTTGCCTGCACATCTCTCTAACAGCAAAGGCAACCCTTCTATGAAATCAAGTGTAATTCTTATTAACTTGGAATATTTTCCTTAAAAGTTATAAAGCAGAGCTGAATTCTATCCATATCTATTCAAAAGTAACTCCCAGTATCCCAGGGTGCAAGAAAGATTCAGTTCCATGTCAACAGCTTCCTAGACTGCAAAACAAAACTCAGTTCTACACAACACCAACTCAACTTTTGAATATGTGGCGACTCTGACAGCTTACTGTATTTTTCGCACCATAAGACGCACTTTTTCCCCACAAAACGGGGGGGTGGAAAGTCTGTGCGTCTTATGGAGCGAAGAAAACAGATTATATTTTCCTGTTTTCTTCTCCTAAAAAATTGGTGCGTCTTATGGAAAGGTGTGTCTTATGGAGCGTAAGCATCTGGCTACAGAGCCAGAGATTGGATGTTCAATTCCTCACTGTGCCTCCAACCTGTGTAGTCAGGGACAAGCTGCATAGTCTCAGGGTACATTGGTTGGTTGGCTGGCTGGCTGGCTGATTGATTGATTGACTGATTGATTGATTGATTGATTTCTGTACCGTCCATCTAGCCAAAGGCCAGTTTGGGCAGTTTACAAGATAAAAAATAAAGCCAATCAAAATCAAATTGTAATCATAAACCATAAAGGAATAAAGGGATGGGAAACCACCTCTAACTGCTCTCAAGTCTCTACCTGGAAAATCCTGAAAAGGGTCAACATAAGTCAGAACTGACTTGACAGCAGATTATTTAGCTCTGATCAGACCACATGGAGAAGTATCCCGGGGCTGTACCTCTCCATTATCACTGCCACTGAATTTGCTAGGGTAGCAGAAGCAAAACTGTCTACTTTTTGCAATGTAAACAAAATATGCAAACTTAAAGACTCTAATGTCAGGGGGGAAAAGGCAAATGTGACCCTGTCTTAAGTGGCATGAATTCTCTATAGGTTTCCAGGTGATAAGTCTCCCTCACACCTTGTTTGCATAGCAAGAAGCGTTCATTTTGCCACTGCTATAACAAATTTAATGGTGAAAGTAGGATCCTTGAAGAAATATTGGGAGACCACCCCTTCCTAAACTGCCTCTGAGAATGCTTATAGTGGAAAAACCATCACAACCACAGACATGATTGCTCAGGAAAAGTCACTGACATGGTTACTTATTTTATAAAACACTATTAGTCAATTTGTAGGCAATCAACGGTCCTCAATATTTTTGCCAACCTGTTTCTCCCACAAAGACGTCATCAGTCGTAATGTAACTGCTTGAAGCTTTGGTGTGCTTCCCAGCACCTGCAGCACACGTAAAATCTGTGCCACACAAACCTGAAAATAAAAATAATTTATGCATTAACATGCATATATGAATATACAGTTTTTCTTACATTTATTTTTTATGCTGAATATCTCACTCTTGTGGCAAGCTTAAAAGTATCTGTAAGTTCTCTCTCACAGGCATTTAGTACTACTTCCGGATAGCAACTTTTCACCTTGGTGGCTCCACAATTTAAACTTGTAATGGAAGAACAGGAAACAGACCAGTAATTATTTCTTAGAAATTTCTAGGGATAAAATTTAGGCAACATTTCCATATTGTAATAGGGATAACCTCTGGTCTCCCAATCTGCAATGTTTACTATCTGAGCAGGGGAGAACCAACATAGAGACAGATAGGTTACCTAAGTGTAATTATAGTTCTTTTGAGTGGTCATCTGTGATTCACACTCTGGGTGATCTGCGCATGTGCAGAGCCTTGTCGGAACATTCTAGAGCTTCTGCAATCAGAAAAGATGTATTAGTACAAACCCCTCCCCCTAGTATCTGTACCTTGGTGCAAAGGCTCTCCCTTCAGTTAAATCAACTGCTGCTTTGGAGTGAGGACATGACAGTGGGGAGGCTGGGTTAGGATGTGTGAATCACAGATGACCACTCAAAGAACTACAATTACAGATAGGTAACCTGTCCTTCTTCTTCATGGCCTCTGTGAATAACACTCTGGGTGACTACAAAGGAGGGTGTCATGCCAAGGTATAAAAAGCATAGCGCATCCAAAAGATGCATTGGACTTCTGGCAAATATCTAGCTGATAGTGACTGGTAAATGTAGATGGCTCCAACCATGTGGCAGATGCACAAATCTCATGGAGGGGAATCCCTCAGAGGAAAGCTGTGGATGCCGCCAATGCCCTGATAGAGTGTGGTCAAAAGGGCTGTGGCATCAGATGATGTGCATGCTTGTAGACAAGTTGGATAGCAGAGGTGACCCACTTGGATATATGCTAAGGGGTTACTTGCAGACCCTTTGATGGAGGCTGGTAGCTGATAAACTGTCTAGGTAAAGGGCAGAACAGTTGTGTAGGGGCTATATGAAAAGCCAGAGCCCATTTGACATCGAAGCTGTGAAGGATGCATTCTTAAGGAGTAGATGGAGATGTGAAGACGGACAAAACAACCAAGGGTTGAGAGTGAAACTGGGAGACACCTTTGGGAAGGAACGAAATATCTACCAAAAGTCAACCCTTGTCAGGGTGGAACTGAAGATATGGGTAGTTGGACCATAAGGTGATACGATACGATAAACCTTTATTAGCATTAGGCAGTAACTCAGGGAACATAGACAAAATCAACATTAATGAGGAAGTACAAAACCATGAGAAGTAATACATATAATCCGGAAAATGGGTAAGGAGAATTCAACATTGTAAGGCAACAGTAAGTTTCAAAATTTCAGTTAAGTAGCTTGCCACCGCCTCAGTGAGGGGAGCACAGCAATCACTCAAGAAGATAGGGAGAAGATCAGGGAAGTGATCCGAAAAGGGAATGAGCTAGTGATCTAAAAACAGTTTGCGATGGGAGTGGTGTGCTGGGCATCTAAAAAGAATATTGTCTGAGGTGTCAGGCAGCAAATGACAGAAAAGGCAAGTCTTTTGTCTTTAGGGATTTTGGAAAAATTCTCCAAGTGCATGGCCGACAGAAAGATGTTAAACTGAGCTAGCATGAAAGCTCTCCGCTGCATGGGATTAGTGAGTAGATTGAAATAATTTTAAAAATATTCCAAAACAGGAGATTAGATGAGAAATTTTGGAGAACATATGGGATTAAGGAGGTCACTTAGATGTTCAAACTCCCACTGATATAGCTTGGCTTTGATATGAGAGTGAGCGAGAGATAATACCAAATCAAAGAGTGATTCTAGTGGGATATCAATGGATGACAGTTTAGAATGGATAAGTTGTATCCATTTGGGGGAGTAAGAATCTCTTAACAGAGCATAAAGTAACGAATCTGGGGGCCTGGTTAAAAATAAACGGAGCCAATATTTAAAGGTGAGAGACCAAACCAGGGGTGAGGGGAGATGGGTTCCTAATTCAAGTAGGATAGAGGCAAATCAAAGGCCAAGGATCTTCCTAAAGAAAGAAGCCGCTAAGCGGTCAAGATCAGAGTAGGCCAATGCAATCCAAACAGGTACTCCATATAATAATAGTGAGATAATTTTGGGTTTGGAATATATGGAAGGCAGCTGGGACAAATTGATTACTGGCAGATAAGTGAAACTTGGCAATTGCCTTTAGATTCTGAGATGTGGATGAAATGGCAGCTTTTTTGTGAGGGGACCAATTTAGTTTGTAATGTAAGAGGATCCACAAGTGCTTAAAAGTATGTACTTGATGTTAAGAGTGGGGACCTATTGACCAGAGGAAAGGGGACCAGTGTTTAGAGAAAACAATAATTTTTGTCTTTGTCTGAATTGATGGTAAGATAATTTGATGAGCAGTATTGTTGTAAATGGATAAGAGAAGAACGTAAACCAGATTTAGTGAAAGTAGGACCATATCGTCAGCATAGAGGAGCATCGTCAAGAAGAGGAGTCCCATTAAGGGCTGGAGGGGAATTTCTAAAAGAAAAGAAGGGAAATCAGCTAGAAAAAGATTAAAAAGCAGGAGGGCAAGGATACATCCTTGGCGTACACCATTAATAACAGGGATCCTATCAGTTAGGACATGTGAATTGGGGAGACGGAGTTGGGTAAAGTTAAGAGTATGAAGACGGTGAAGCAGAAACAAGAGGCGAGGGTCAATTCCCCATTTAGATAACTTTTCCCATAGTAGGCTTCTGTTAATGGAATCAAATGTCGACAAAAGCAACATAGAGATTAGATTGGTGATAAATGGAATATTTTTCAGTTAGAAATGATAATAGGAAAACATGATCGGTAGTGGACGCACCAGCACGAAAGCCAATTTGTTCCATTCCAGGGAGATTTTTAGACTGCACCCAAGATAGGAGTTTGGTGAGAAGAAATTTGGAATAGTTTACCAATGTTGGCAAGAAAGCTAATCGGCCTATAATTACTGGGTTGGGAAGCATCACCTTTTTTATAAATGGGAGTTATAACAGAAGATAGCCAAGTTTCAGGAAATTTGCTGGTATTATTTACTAGCGTGAACAATTTAGCAAGGAGCTCAGCCCACCAATGAGGGCTGGAGGTCAAGATCTCAGAAAGAAAGTTATCTGGGCCTGGGGCCTTATCAGATTTTAGAGTATTGATGAGATCTAAAACTTGGTCAGTGGTGACAGGGGGCCAATCAGGGAGATTAAGAGGATTTGGTGGCAAAGAAGAAAGGGGAAGGTAGCTTGTAAATAGCCCCATGAAATAATCAATCCAAGTTTCAGCCGGGATGGAGGGAAATGAATTAGAACGGGTCGGAGCAGTGGAGCAAGAACCTATAGACCAGAAAGACTTCTGGTTGTGGGAAATGAGCCTGGTGTAAGAGGCACCATTTGCGTTGCACAAATCGGTGTGGGGTCTTTTGTTTTGTTTTGTTTTGTTTTTGTATCCAATAAGGCAGAACAGGATTTGTGGAGAGAGCAGTAGTGCTGTAGGTAAAGAAGGGTTAACTGTTGGCGAATAGATGAAAAGAAAGATCTAGTTTGTCTTTTTGCCTTCCAACAATCAGCATCGAACTAAGAGTGAGAGTTGGGTGAGGCAGGTTTCAGGATCAAAGTAGCAATAAGGATTCAGTTCAGGATGGCCATAGCTGGAGTGCTAGAGGCCATCAATTCTGGTTTTTTAAAAAATATATAATTTTGGGTGAACAGGACCAGTCATGGGCCACTTGTTCAGCAACAGGGGACCATCTGATTCGGAGAGAGGATTGGGCAGATGGTGGAGAGATAAGAGGTAAGGATAAAGGGAAAGATAACGATAGCATAATAGGAAGGTGGTCACTATCTGAACGACTGCCAATTAAAAAGTCAGAGAGGAAGGAGAAAAAAAGTGGAGAAACTAGGATATAGTCAATGACACTCGAGCCCCTAATAGAAACATGGGTAAATTCTCCTGGAACATCCTGTTGGGCAAAACCATTAAGGACGGTTAAATTATAGTGTAGACATATATCAATCAAAGGGAGAGCATGGTTATTGAAAAAGAGGTCTTTAGAAGATCTTTTAGAAAGAAACCAGGGAGGGCTTTGCTCACCAAAGCTCTGGTTTAGGTGAAGGGATAAGGCATGATTATTTGGCCCTATTCTAACGTTAAAGTCACCCGCAATTAAAAAATGGGCAGAAGGGTAGGCAATAGAATATTTTAGAAGACGTTTTGCTAGATCATCCCAGAGGGATGATGATGAAACAGTAGGAGGAGGGATGTAAATGTTAAATAGTAAAATTTTAGGTCCTTAAAGTGGAGTAGAAAAACTTGAAAATATGAAGAATGGGTCTCAAATGAAAGGGCAGAGAGAGGAAAGGAAGAATTGATAAAACAAGAAAGGCCTGCACAGGGGCGGCCCTTTGAATTAGTTTTATAGGCAGGTAGATGGTATGTAGTAAATGCTGAAATATAAGGGGGAAATAAGGACCAAGTTTCTTGAAGGAGAATAATGTCATGTGTGGACAAAAATTGAATAAAGTCACTATCAGACACTTTCCTCCTCCACCCCTCAATGTTCCAAGAAAGGACCTTAAGTGAGAAAGTGGGGGAAGGGAGGGAAGGGAGGGTAGCCGGGAGTCAAGGTAGGGACGATGAGGGGGGTGTACAGCTAGAGGTAGGACAAGATGGGAAGGTACACCATGTAATGTATCAAAGGACTCGTGTCAATGATCACTGAAGTGAAGGAGAGCGTACATCAGGGTATATATGCGTTAATCATTTACGAAATCTCTTGAGAGTAGGATGTCTAAAGAATTTAGAGGCTGGGGAGGTTGGTGCTCAGTTGCACAACAATGGCAATGACACAGAAAGTCCTGTGTGCTTATGGTGTAAAAGAAAACATAGAACAGTGCGGAGAGCGTGGTTAGTTGGTGAGCATGTTATTGAGGAAGTGCATCTGCCACATGGTCGCAGCCGTCTACATCAGAATGCCAGATGCAAGGGGAGACTTTGTCTGGGGGCCGGGATAAAAGTCTAATAAAAGTTAAGTAAAAATTAAGATCTAGCCAGGGGGCCCTTTTGAAAGAGCCATCTCTCAAGGGGGTAAGGGGGGTAGCTTGTAGACAAAGAGCATTTTCGACAGCTGCCCCCAGACTATGGAATGCCCTCCCGACTGAGATTCGTCTGGCGCGGACGTTGATGACATTTTGGCACCAGGTCAAAACCTTCCTGTTCCAGAAGGCTTTTAATTGAAATAATATCAACTGTGGGTCATGATGGCAATTTTTAGAGTATCTATTTTAATTGTATTTTAATGGTTTTATCTTTTTATTGTATTTTTAATGTATTTTAATTGTAGTAAGCCGCCCAGAGACCTTTGGGTAGAGTGGCTGGCATTTAAATAAAATAAAAAAAATATTGTTATGATCACATAACTTGTTTTTTTATACTGTTGCCTGTTTTGTTATAAGGAGTAAATCCTTTGCTGTGCAAGTTTTTTAATCTTTCTGATACAATTATTTGATTGTCCATCCCTTGCATGATTACAAAGACACAACTTTGCCTGTTCCATCAGTTCCCCAGAGTTCAACCTGCCAAGACATAATTCCCAAGAGCAGACTTCATCTGCCATCCAATAACTGTGCCAAAGTCCCTTTGTAGATAGCACATTGTTTTCGAAGTGTCTTCTGGTGCTGCTGCAGTAATAATTGGGATCCCAGAACTACTGAAGTATATCAGTCATATAGGTCCTTCCCACATAATTAACCTAAGCCACAGAGTTGGCTGTTGAGACACTCCAACAGTTACTCTGAATGTGAGGGCAAAAGCCATAAAGAAGCAGCTCCTCATCTGTACTGTTATGCATTGGTAGACTTGTAATTAGAACTATTCACAACAACTCTAACTAGCCTGCATTGGTGTTAAAATCATCAGGAGAGGCTGTCCCATTACCTTCACAAGTATATTTAGTGGGGACACTAGACAAAGCCTTCTCTGTTGCTGATCCCAGACTCTGGAACTTCTCACAGTTGCTGTCATCCCACAAGCAGGCGAAGACCTTTCTCTTCAGGTAAGCTTTCCATCAGTGACTGCCTGCCTGAGTGGGGTTTTTTAATGGATTGTTGCACCTCATTGCTTTGAATATGTTTTTGGTGTTGCTTTTGTTTACTGTTTTTAGTGTGGGATCTGTCCAATCCTTTTCAGTAATTGTATACTTACTGTTTGCAGCTTTAAAAATTGTCTTTTAATTACATAAGCTGCCTTGATTTCTTTTTAAAGGCCAAGACAGGGTGAAAATATTATAAATAACTACTTTTTTAAAAGGCTATGTTAGAGTTTTCCACCACTGCAACCAAATACAAAGGTTCATGTTCCAGCCACACTTCAGGCCAAGAGGTGTGCACAAAACTCAGTCCTCCATATTTTGTTGCCTTGCTACTATTAGCTAGGGCCAATGGGAGTTAAAGTCCAACCATACCTGGCAAGTCACACTTCACTCCTGACAGGCTTCAGACCATCCAGATAAGACATATCCACCAATGACCAATAGGCAACCATGGTGACATCCTCCACATGGACTCCCCTTTGGGGAGCAAACAGTACAATGGAACTAGATGTAGTTCATATAAGTGACATACTGTACTGTCTTAGATACTTGTTCACATCTTCTTCTGTTACTATTTTTCAAAAAGCACCATCTCCTCCTATCATGAATGACTTCAGGAAAGAAGTTAAATTTTCATACCGACCTTGTGTACAGCCAAAGCAGGCAAAGTATATAAAATATCCCGACAGAGTGTCGGCTCCAGTGGCCTTCCAAGTTTAAACATCAGGACTGGAATCAGATTTGGCACCTAAAATAAGCAAAATTTGTGCAAAGCATGACATTCTGTTCTGTGAGAACAGTGCTAAAGATCACCTCCATCTTGTGACACATTCTCTAAATCTTTGAAAAAGAATTGGCTGTCAACATATACAACACTAATGCACAGATACGCAGTTATTTTCTGGCATGGTAGGAAATTCTCTGCTATGTGAGCTGTGGCAATTTCCAAGGCTCTTTTATTTTCAACAGTTCCATTTATTAATTGGCTGGTGGAGTTATTACAAGATTTCCACTCCAGTTTTACTGTTTGCTTCCAGAATGAAACTCTTTCCTACATTTTAGAGTTTTTTCCCTCCTATTAAAGCAATTTATTGTAATTTTAGAATTTAGTAGTCTTAGACATTTATGCTGGCTAAAAACCAGAGAATAAATTCAAACCAAAGCTTTGGCTTAGCAGCCAATGGGCACGAAGATGCCAACAGCAGTCCACATTGCTCTGAAAGGAAGTTCTGTCAGTAGAAACAGAATTCATTAAATCAATGAGACAGTCTGACAGTTTTACCATGATTATCAACTTTTTCTATCCGGTGCTTAAGAACTGTGTGGTATTTATATTTTGATGATACTCCAGCAGATATTTAGCTGATGCACATTGTTCCTATAATGACTTGCGCATTCCCAATACTTTTATTTCTAATCATTATTTTCAGATTACTTGAGTTATATAGTAACCACATCCCACACAATAGCCAAAAAAGGAATCTCATAAAAATGTCCCTAGAAAGATTAAAATGCTGTGGCTAATAGGGTTTACTTACAACTCTCCCACAGTTTCCATACACAGCTAAGGCCCACTTTTTAAACTGAAACCAAAGGTTAAAATAAACAAAAGGCAAAAAGCTGCTACATGGAGTTACATCAGTATAAACCAGATCCAGCACTCGAAATGATTAATTTAAACTAACTGAAAACTTCCTAAAACAGCCCCCCCATCAGATTCAAAGGCTCCCTAGAACTCCCTTTTGCCCTGAGAAAGCCTTTGGGAACCTGGGAGGGGGGCAGGAAGCAGCCTTTAATAGTGGTCCAATCCTGCCAGTGCCAATCTGGCAGCATTTTTTTCCTATGAAAGGCTCTATCTCCCACCCTGCTCCATCTGGAGGTTCCCCAAGAGCTTCCAGAACCCTTGGGAGCCTTGAAATCTCAAAAGGGGACACACAATTTCATTCAATGTAGATGGAACAATTGCTGCAGTACTGTATTCAAAACATTCACCTAGATACAATGTACAGAACACTGCAGCCAAAGTTAAAGGTTCACATACAATGAACAAACTCCAAAATTACAGAATTAACCAAAGCAATTACTAGGCAAGAAAGAATACATGTTCTTTAGAGTAGAGGAATCAAGACAGCTCTGAAAAGTTATTTTTGGATTACAAGGGCCAGAATACCGTAGAGTTTTCAGGGTTTTCTAGATACAGAGTACTCAGGTCTGGTTTACCATTCCCTTCTTATAGGGGCACACAGGGGAGGCTTTTCTCTTGGGCCCCCCACCTTCACAGGTACTCCCAGTGGGGAAACAGGAGAGCACCTCTTCAGTTGCTGCTTCCAGACTCTGGAATGCCCTCCCACAGCATATTGTCTTTTAACAATGTAGGTCTGCTTTGGGTCCTTTTTAAGGAGAAAGGACTAATGGACTAAAAATAGGTAGCTTTTAATTGACTTAATTTAAATTCATTTGGCACAGAGTCTGGTTTACTCCAGCATAACTTTACACAACAGGATTTTTCAGATTATGTTTAGCATGTTTTTAGAAGAGGTAGTCCCTCAAGTAGTAAAAGTGTTTTTCTTTGGTTTTTCACGTCTCTTTCTTACATTTAGTGTGATTTGTTTTGTGATTGACCACAGAAACATAGGTTAAATTTCCAGATCTGATTGAAGTACATCCCATTATAGAAGGCAAGCATATTAATTGGAGGAAACATACATTCACATTAATGTCCTGAGCACACAGGATATGGAAAACTCTCAAATTGTGTAGTGTTTCAAAGCAATCATCAAGCAGCCATATGTGAAAGGAGGATGAGGGGGAAACTAGAAGATAAAGAGGCTATTTACCTGTAACTCTGGATATTCTGTGCTCACTTCGGCAGAACATATACTAAAACTGGATATTCCAGAGGAGGGGTCCCCAACTCCCACTGCGCATCCCCGTCCTTCCATGGTTGAGATAGATCTCCTTGCCCCCCCCGCACGCACTCCACCCATTCACCTCACCCGCACACACGGCCCACCACTCACTCTCATGCACGGGTACCCCGCCCACCTTTTAGTGCACCCCACCCCTCTGAGAGCATGCCCCACCCCTTCAGAGGTTTACATTAGTAAAAGACAATATTTAAAGCTAAGAACAATGAGCATAAAGACCGCCCATCTGAGAGCACCCCCCACCCCACCCCCAACCAGTCTGTGACTCAGAAAAGGTTGGAGACCACTGTTCTAGAGCTTAAGCACAAGCTGCCCTTAACCGAGTGCCTCAGTTCAGTAGAACAGCCCGCCGCTGCCCAGCATGCAAAGGCATATGTGATGGACAATCTTCTGTTTCTTTTTCCTAGGAGTCTCCACCGGTACCTACTCCAGGGGTGACATCGAAGCCTGCCCTGATATCAAGCCCATATGGTACAACCTCGGCCAAGGTATTTCCCCTGCCAGGAGACTGACTAAACTGCGGGGATGGCACAGCAACTGGTGTCGGGGGAGGAATATCCTCATCACCCAAGAGTATGCTGAGGCATACAGGCTCATGCCGGGGATGATCAGTATATGGAGATGAAGGAACGGCCTTGTCCATTGCCCACAATGGCTTCTGCATGGCCAATAGTTTCTTTTTCTACTTCAGCACCAATGCCAAGGGAGGCTTCAGTGTAGATACCGTAGCCATCAACCTCAACTCCGATGAAGACGCTTTAGACTTCAACAACATTTTAACCATTTTTGAGGCCTTAGAAGAAAGCGAATGGCCCGAACCTGGAGAAAGCTCCTATGGATGAGCTTGGGTCAGCTCCATAGTTGGTCCCTGCGAGGGGCAAAGAGACTTCTCCCATAAGAAAGAGCGGAGGTGCTGAAGTCTCAATTTGAGTGCTGGCTTTGTAAAAATTTTACAGGCCGTACATAAGGCAGGCTGATGTTCTTCACCTAAACAAATCAAACACTGAGAATGCTCATCCAACAAGGTTATTTTGTTCGGGCAGGTCTCACACTGCTTGAAGAAGCCCAAAGTGGCCATAAAACCAACGCACAGTGGTAACAACAGAAAGTAGTAAAAATCTGTTTTTTTCCTTTGTTTTACCTCACAGGCAGTTCGTAACGTCAACAGTCAGAGCCAGAAGTCCGGGAGGTCCACAAGAAGTAAGTTTTTCCTGACAAAAAGGAGGTAGGCTCCAATGCTGAGGTACTGCTGCAGCAGCAACAAGAAAGAAACTGAGGTACTCAGTGCTGGGGGTGGGGTTAGAGGCAGTGTGAGGGAGGTCTCAGCACTATGTGCTTAAGCTCTAGAATATTCCAAGGTTTCTCTGTGTAGGTGCACTAAACCCATTAGTGTGCATTCACAGAGACCAAGAAGAACAGACTAAGAAAAGATGGAGGAGGAGAATCATGTTCACACAAGGGGCAGATCTACGGAGAACAGAGAATGGAAAGAAAAGTGGATAAATGTATCCATATATGAGAAGCATCTCTCCACTATGAAAATTCTTAAGAGTCAATAAGCTGACTGCATCTTCCTTGTCAACAGCCTCATCCTGCTCCATTCCACCTGAGCCAATTTTTCCATGATGACGGTACAAAATAAAGATGGGACTAATTAAGTTGAATTAAGCCTGGATCAGGTGCAAAAGAAAACAGCAGAGAAGTAAGCCTTGATGGAAAAA